CAGCCTGCTGGCTCCGGCTGCTAAAACTGGGCCAATCGCAAATGGAGTTTTCATTTTTCCAGTGGGTTTCAATTTTATTTTATTTTATTTGAAAATAGTAGAAACTCAGACACGAAAATCATCAGCACCGTTGGAGAATTCGGGTGAGTAACGGTGTCAGAATCACTGCCTCCACTGCACCCTCCTGAGATTTAAGAAGGCCTCGGAGGAAAACAGAGGGCAGGCTACCGAGTGGGGATCTGAGTTTGATTTGCTGCAAAAAATAAGAACCTGGAGGGATCTCCCATCTGCCAGCCGTCAGCTGCTTTCAGCTTGCTCGGTGGCAACATCTCGGGGACTGGGAAGAGATCGGAAGCAGATTTTGCATGAGGAGCCTGCGTAGCATGTCCAGGCCTGGACTATAAGCCTGTACCACCCTCTTCCTCCCATCACACCTTTAGGAGACCCTTTTCCTCAAAGGCAGGTAGTGACAGAAATAACTTTCTGAATTAGATTGTCTTGGGATATGGTCTTAGGCTCCAATGTCTTCCAGCCGATGGGGATTTTCAGTGACACAGAGAAAACTTAGAAATGAGAAGAAATAGGGTTTTTGGTGTGTTTTTGTTTGTTTGTGTTTTTTTTTTACACTAAATCCAAATAGTGGTTCATGAACAATAAATGCTTTTCTTAAATGTTTTACTGATCTGTTATCATACGATCGCGCTGTTCTTAAAATCGTGCTTAGAGAGCACTGTCTGTCTAGCTTAGATGCGCTGGGCATTTCCATATTATTGTACAACTGGCTCGTATGGTGCAGCCCCCAAGAAATGGCCCGCTGAGAAAGTGTATGTCTCTTCTCGGTCTGCTTTTAAAGGCACATTGGAGATAATCACAGGAAAAGCCTTTGATCAAATATTATTTCATGGCATGAGATTCGCAGAAATGTCTCTCCTGAGGCTCTCAACGGTGAGACACACACTGCATTGTGCTTTTCAATACAGCAACTTTGTCCTTACTTAGAATTTAAAGGAAAAAAATATATATAATGTTTTTATATTGATTTAGAGAGAGAGGGAGGGAGAGGGATAGAAGCATCGATGAGAGAGAGACATTGATGGCTGCCTCTTGCACACCCCCCACAACTAGGAATTGAAACAGGAACTTCATGGTTCATGGGTTGATGCTCAACCACTGAACCATCCTGGCCGAGCCAGTAACATACATGTTCAAATCATACACAGTGAAGATACATCCCTTTGAGCTGTAATCATATATCAAAAGTCAGCTCTGGCTGAAGCCGGTTTGGCTCAGTGGTAGAGCGTCGGTCTGCGGACTGAAAGGTCCCAGGTTCGATTCCGGTCAAGGGCATGTACCTTGGTTGTGGGCACATCCCCGGTAGGGGTTGTGCAAGAGGCAGCTGGTCGATGTTTCTCTCTCATCGACTTTTCTAGCTCTCTATCTCTCTCCCTTTCTGTTAAAAATCAATAAAATATATTTTTAAAAAAAAGTCAGCTTTGGTTTGACAGAGCACGCAAAAATAAGTTTATAGTATTCTTTCAAGTTCATTAGATATCCATTCTGTTATTGAAACAACAGCCTGTATCGATCCTATCACCGATGCCAATATTCAAACACGTTTTTCCATACACACACCACTTCCTATTAACTCCAAACGGGGCACACCTATTGCAAATGTCAATAGGCAGGCCAATAGGCAGACTTTAAAAAAAAAAAAAAACAACCCAGATCGTCGGTTTTTAAGCACGTCTATTGACATTGAATAAAAACAACTGGATTTAATGATTAACTACAGAGATGATAACCAACTGTAAATACGTCGTTTCCATGAATGCCCCTCTCTGGGTGTCAGGCTGCCTCTCGGAGCCACTCTTAATATCCTCACTGAAACTGTTAGTGACTAATGCGCTCCGTGCTCCAGCCAAATTGGGTTTTCCCTCCTCTCCTGCCAAGCTAGCTGGAGAGAGCACCACCCATAGCAAAGCGCAAGCTGAACCCCAAACCCAGCCGGGGGGAAGGCTGGGAAAGGTGGGGAAGTACCTGCAAATCCCAGAAAACAATTCGTTTTGAACTTCCCGTGAACTGGTCTCAGGCGAGGAAAAAGCAGGGCTCCCATCCACCATCCACAGCAAGCATCTGAGTGCACGTGAGCGTTATACATCAGGAACGTTAGCTGCAGAAAGCATCCTTCCCTAAAAATCCGATTTCTTTCAAGTACTGGACATTTTTAGGGGGGGGGGGGGAATAAATCTTTGGGCCTGAATTAACTGGATAATGAATTCAACAATTCAGTGTAAGCAGATGCTTGTAAGGTACGTGGGCTTAAAAAACAATCTTTTCAAGCTACCGTTCCGTTGCTAAGACCTCACTCTTTCCTGTGGCAAAGTCTTCAATGTAAAGAGTTCAGCTTCAACAATGAGTCAAGATTTCTAGGGCGTCAGTTTGCAAAAAAATGCCCAAAAGTTTGATTCTTTAAATGTCCCTGGAAATGAATTAATGTCTCTCAAAACCTCCAGTGACACCCATAAGCTCCGATTCCTTTTATAACGGTAAGAAAACCTAGAAGCATACACGGTCCCTTTTTATGGAACTAAATTCACTCGAATTGAGTCAAAAGGTAAGTGTTTTCTACCTCTTGGACCTCAGGATGGCATCATTTGGACTACAGGATCTCGAGCATTCTGCCACGTTTCTGAAGGCAAAAGTAGGAAGAAAAAAAAATGTTCATTTTAAGGGACAAAATCCTACTTGTCCATACACTTGGACAATCGCCAACATAAAACTCCTCAGAGCTATTTGCTTTTAAGAAATAAATCTATTGCTTTATGTTTTAAAATGGCGTCATCTCTAGCATTTTCATGGCAGATGACTTAAAGGAGATAAGAGCTCTCCTGCCCTGAAATTCAAAATTCACTTCCTTGATTCCCTGGTTCCTGATCAGCAAATTCAAACATTGCCATAATTACAACAAAAATCTAGATGAACAATCCATGAATTAAATCTAAAATTAGCTGAGTTTCCTAACCAGATGCATGTAAAAGCATCCCTCATTATATTAGAAATAAAAAAAAATGTTTTAATCTCTATAGAAAGAAAATGTAGATCTATAATACAAAAGATTTCGAGACTTAAAAAAAATCTTATCTGAAATAATGGGGTTTACAAAGTGTAGTTTTAGATACTCTGTGTTTTCTTGATAAAAATTGGGAAAATCAAAATTTTTTTAGTGTTCCTTTTTAGGTAAAAAAACAAAAACAAAAAATAAACCCCAGCTATTTTCTCTGATGATAGTTCAAAAGACTTACTTGGAAAAATGAACATTTCAGCCATTTCAATGGGAGCTATTATATGATTTAATATAATGTTCACCTCTTTCAGACCTTCCAATAACCTGTTTGCAGATAATCACAAGTCTGTTAAAGAAAAAGTCTGCTTGATTCACCATTCATCTGAGGGCATAACTGACTAGAAAGGAAATCCAAAACCAGTATCTTTACCATTTCCTACTTCTAGGATATTCCCCAGGGTCCGCCCAGCCACAATGCTGGGCCCATGGCGATCTGAGGCTAATTGATTATCTAAAGGAAACAGATGTGAAAAGTAAGTGAAACTACCTATTTAAAATACACTATTGGGTAAGCCAGATGTTAAGGGAGGGGTGGGGAGATTAATTTGGTTTCCAACTGTGGTGATTTGTGTAATGAATATTCTAGTTTTGCACACAAAAAAAGTTTGAAATTATTTTTTCCCAAATTGCTTGCCAAAATATTGCTTTTGTACATCTAGCCGGTCCAGTTTAAGAGAACGCTCTTCATTTTAACTCAGATGCTACAGAACTTGCCACCCCCTCTGACAGCTTGGAGGACACTGTCCAGTTCCGACGTGCTTGTTGAACCCGCGTGTAACTGGCCCAAGACATGACTCTGTGACGCTTTCGTGGGCCATGATGTTTTAATTGGTTAAAACCGAGTGTGAGTGTCATGGAATAGAAATCCTCTCTCAAGTAAAAAGGGGAAAGTCAAATTCGAAATGATAAATGACTGTGCTTTACGATGGGAGTCATCTTGGATGTCCAGCCAAAGCCATGAGGGAGCTTACACGGTCATGTTCCTGACCTCTTACACCACTTATATTTCTATGGGAGGATGATAACCTTATGACAGGCCACATAGTATGTATTTCAGTTTTGACAGTCAGAATGCAAAACGACGTTTTCATCTGTATCTTTAAGGCTGGAACTCATAGGCCATCGGACCTCAGGATTTGCAAAAACGCTAAGGCCTGTGCTGGCCCGGCTCCACACGGGACCACACGGGACAAGCCCTGGTACAGAACCACCTGGCGTGCGAGTGCTTCCATCCCCACATGCCCAGTGACACCCTCAGGAAGTTGGGACCATCCCAGAAATCAGGGACCGGAGTGCTTTGAACGGCTCCCTGTGCTTTATCACATTTTACAACTTAAAACTTGGGGAAACCTGGGGGCTTCCGAGTTCACCCAGCCACAGAAAGGATGTGTGTCAGTGAATCTTGGACCATCCGATGCCCGCTAATTCAATTGCCTGGAATTCCAGTCATTAGCCAAGCAGTCTTCCAAATGAAGACATCCGGTCTCCTCCAATTTTCCACTTAAAACAGAACACAGAAGAATAGATCTGACCAATCGACTTAGGATAAAATTACCCACGGAAATGATTTATGTGCAGGGAATTAGGGGCTGGGCAGTGTCTGATGAAAAACCCTATGCGACCACTTGAGGTTTTGTGGATTCACACATTTCCAGGGGATGACCTTCACATTTGGGATGGAGGTTGTAGCAAATGGGCCACACGTTTCAAATGTGTGCTTAGTATTGTCTGAAATGTTTACACACTTCCGTTTGAGTGATTTTTAAGGCATTCTAATAATTTCATAAGCTGACCTTAAAAACAAAGGTGCCATGGATGACACACACTTAGGGTCACGGAGTCCATACTCACAATCAAGACAGCACACACGAGAATCTGAGTTCATATAATTTATTGCAGTTAGCACACAGTTTAAAAATTCACCAACACACCAACAGTACAAAACTAAACAGCATTATAAGTTATTCCCCCCTCAGGAAAATAAAACGTACTATGATTGTCAAAGCTAGATGTCAGTCTAAGTTTTTAGAACAAAGGAAGAATGTGAAACTAAGAGGAAAAAGTAATCACTCACAATGACCACGAAAAGAAAATTCAAAAGAAAAGTCCGTTCTCTCACAGACATTGATTGTCTTCTCTAAATTAATAAAAATTACTTTAACATAAACTGTATTTAATAAAAAAACAAAAAAAAAACAAAAAAAAAACAAAACTAGAAACTCTTCAAGTAACTAAAGATAATGCTCCAAGGCCATTTTCACAGCTTTTTTTTTCCTTTCTGTTTGTTTGTTTGCTTGCTTTAAATGCCATTACAGCCAAATGAACACGCGTTTGACCAAATATTTCCAAAACAGTCCAGCAACACACAATGGAGTTTTCCATTCAGTATCTTAAGCACAAAAATAGGTTATGTTTACAGTAGTTAAGGCGATCAAATTTTAAACAAAAGCAATTAAGGAGGAAAAAAAAATAAAATAAAAGGGAAAAACAGCAAACGTTTTCCATGCTCCTCCCATAGACCTTATTTGTAAGTGCAAGACAGGAAAACACTGTGCAAAATGCTCTGCCCCGCGCGGCCGGGCTGCAGCTCTGCCGCCACCGCGCAGTCTGCTCCCCCTCCCCGTGTCAATCAAGGCAGCCCGGCCTTTCAGCCTGGGGCTTTTTCAGTCCATAGAATCTTTTCATGAGGCGGGGGAAGGGAGGGAGGTGGGATAGGGAGGGCGGGGAAGGGAGAAGGGGGAGCCAAAAAAGAAAAAAAGAAAGAAAAAAAAAAAGAATGACCTATTGTCAATTTGTGCAGTAGTTTTTCTAAAGACGCTCAACCGGGCATAAATGTGTACACCGAAACTTCGAGCCGGCATGGGTTCTGTGCAATCGGGAGTTTGTGATAAATGCACACTGCACATGCAAGTCTGTAAGCCGTTTTGTAAACATTTATATTTTCCTTGTTATGTAGCGAAGTTATCAATTTGCAGCTTACGTTTTTTTTAGTCAGCTTAACAGTCTCAACTTAAAGACAGTGGGAAAAGTCGATTTAAATTATATAAAATAAAAATAAAAAAAAAAACAGTGCATTTACGTTCTTCATAACACCGGGTTATTTCCCAAACGGTGCTATTTTTTTTTTTTTTTTGTTTCTCTAAGGAAATTAAATAATTTTCAACTCACTCGTTAAAGTTATACAATGCAAACAAAGACAAAAATATATCGAAACTCATGCATTTCTGTAGCGTTAATATTTACTCTTCAAGACTCAACTAAGAGCATCAACACAACCTGTCAAGTTCTTTGACACCCCCCCTCCCAGCCCGTGTAATCAATTACAGTATACAATAACAGTAATTCACATTTTCAACACAGTTCAACACTGCTGAAGCTGCTATATCCTCTCCACCCCCAGCAAACCTTCACAGAGACGGCGGCCCAGTGACCAGTGTACGCTCATCGCTTCTCTCACTGGGAGCCGTCGGGGAAAACCAGAAGTTGCCACAGAAAGTTTGAAAGTCAACTGCTTGTTTTTAAAAATAGATAATCCAGCATTTCAGAAATTTTCCATTTGGGTCTAAAAGCATTCAGGTTTCCAACAGCCAGAAAGGAGTCATGCAATCGGAGACGCAGAAAGAGGCTAATAAAACCGGAGGGGGCTTCTATACTTCCGAACAAAAAAAGTGGGGGGGAGACCTCCAGAGACAATGCAGTGTTGACGAAATGAAGCCCTAGGAACGCTTCGGATTCGTTTCAAAGGCTCTTGTTGGCTCACTTCCCCGACCCCCTCTATCTCTGCCCTGCCCTAAGTTTATCAGTATGCTAAATTAGTGAGATTCTCATGCTAGTCTAAAGTGCAAAAAACAAGTTAATACCCCAACTTTTTAGTTCCAGGAAACAAGACTGCTTTTAGACCGTACCACAACTATATAGAGATCTATGTATATATATGTATATATACATATATATATAACACACATATATATATGTATATATATATAAAATTATTTCCAGAGTTCTTGCGAGCTATCTTCTAAGGTCCAGTCTCTGACCGTGGGCAAGCTCAGGGCTTCGCTTTTGACGGACAAGGAGTTCACCAACTCACAGTGGAACTTGCGGATGTGCCTGTACAGGTCCCCGGACTGCGTGAACCTGCGCTCGCACCACTTGCACGCGTGCGGCTTCTCGCGGGTGTGCACCACGGCGTGGCGGCTCAGGTTGTGCGAGTACTGGAAGCTCTTGCCGCACTGGGTGCAGGTGTAGGGCTTCTCGCCCGAGTGGGTCCTCTCGTGGCGCTTGAGCGTGTACATGCAGGAGAAGGTCTTGCCGCACAGCGAGCAGGTGGGCACGTTGACGTCGGCGGCCGGCTTGCTGCGGATGCCGTCCTGCTCGCGGAAGTGCGTGCTCAGGTGGATCTGCAGGATGTGCGGGCTGGGGAAGACCTTGTTGCACAGCGGGCACATGAAGATCTGCCCGGCCGGGCTCAGGATGCTGGGCACGTAGGGCAGCAGGCCGCCCTCCATGCCGCCCTCGCCCGGCCCGCGCTCGCCCTCGGGGGTCAGCATCTCGTCGTCGCTGGCCTTGTCCTCCCGCTCGAGCTCCCGCAGCACCGAGTCCTCCCGCAGCGGGGCCAGGTGGGCCGGCTCGTACTGGCCCCGGGGGGCCGCGCCCACACTGTCCTTGCCCGCGCTATGCTCCATGTCATAGTCATTAGTGCCCACATCGCTCTCATCACAGGAGGCCTCTTTCTCCACCTTCACCTGCACCAGGTTGCTTCTCAGCACGTCCTGTGAAGAGAAATAAGAGCTGTTCAGATTCTCAACGCCCGAAAGGCTGGACTTGACAGACAGGTCCAGCACGCAGTCAACATCTGCCGCGTCCCGCACGGAGGGGACAGACCTCTGGGACAGAGCCTCGGAGCTGCAGGGGCTGGCCACTGTCTTTGCGCCCGCGGCGGCGGCGGCGTGCGGCTCGGCCTCCCCGCCCGCCGGGGCCATGCCCGCCGAGTCCGAGGGCAGTCGCATCCACATGGTCCCGGGCTCGCCGGCCAAGTCCCTCTTGCCGGGCAGGAGGCTCAGCTTCTCCTCTTCGCCCTCGTCGTCGTCGCTGGGCAGGTCGCCGGCCATGTGGCTGCTGCCGTCCGACAGGCTCTCCACTTTGTCCGAGCAGCTCGAGGCGTCCTCCTCCTTCTTGGTGCTGTCGGCCTCGGTGCCGGCCTTCTCCTTGAGCTTCTTCTTGCACACCTTGACGATGTCGTACATGTGCAGGTAGCTGGCGGCCGCCAGCACGTCCTCGATGGGCAGGTCCTTGAACTGGAGCTTGCCTTCGTACATGAACTCGAGCAGGAGCGCGAAGGCCGGGGCGGTGACGATGTCGCTGTTGAGGTGCACCAGGTCCCTCTTGTCCAGCTGGTCCTTGTAGAAGAGGTGGAAGTACATGCTGCAGGACGCCAGCACGGCGCGGTGGGCGCGGAACTGGGCATCCCCCACCAGCACGGTGCAGTCGCACAGGAAGCCCTGGTGCCGCTGCTCGCTCAGGCACTGCAGCAAGTGTCTGCTGTGGTCTGGGAACTCCATGCTGTCTTCATAACCTGCCGGGAGAGAGGGGGACAGTCCTCGTGAGCGCCGCTTCGCAACTTTCCGCGCCGGGCCCCGCGCAGAAAATAATAATTCGGCTTGGCAGCCCGGGTGCACGTCCCTGCATTTTAATCAGGCGTCTGGCCGGCCGGGAGGCGACCGAGTCACATGCACGCCGCCCCAACGCGGGCAGGGGAGGCCCGCTGTGCAGGCTGCCTGCCCCCAGCCCCCGTCTGCAGGGCGTCCCACCTTCCCCAACTTACACCAAGTTTTCCAAGCCCCGAGTCCAGGATCGCCTCTGACTGGGAAGGAGGACTTAGATCCCGCCCAGAAGCCCTTCGTTAACGCTCCCCGCCAGACCGAGCCCCACAAAACCTACAAAATAGCTTGGGTTTCAAAGGGAACAACTCATAATGAACAAAGAGGACACCCAAGCGCAGTCCCGGAGAGGCAGGAAGCGTGTCTGGCCGTTCTTTTTAGTACTTTTTGATACCTGACTGTGCTCACAAAGCACAACTGAAACACACACGTTCGGTTGGATAATAATTTAAAAAAGAACACATCGTGAAATTGCATAATTAGTCCAGGAATCAGCAAACAACTTTCTTTCTCAGAGTCCGAGTGCGATAACAACAAAAGCCCCTGGTGTAAGAACAGATGTGAGAGTCTGAGCTCAGGTACCTCGCACATGGACCGGGCGGGAGGAGCCGCGCCAACAGATGGGAAAGATCATCTTTGCTGCGAACCCATCCAAATATTTTTTTTAATGAATTGAGAAAAATGGTCATTATTTCTTTGGAAAAATCTGTACCTTTGGAGACTTGGGGAGCCAGAAGGGCTTTATTGAACTCCGAAAAAATCTTATCTAAACTTTGATCCTTTGCAAAAAGCAAGATGAGTTCCATATTCAGATCAATCCAAACTTTTAAATAAAGGCACATTATGTGCAAGTGAAATTCAAAAGCTTTGCAGGTTCAACATTATAAAAAAAAAAAAAAAAAAAAAAAAAGCCATACTAGAAAAAGAGAAACTATTTTTCTTCCCCCTGACTCTGCCTTACCTCTGTCAACAGAAAATACTTTGTTTCAACATAACTTGATATATTTTGCTTTCCCACTGGCTTCTATTCTTTCAAATAGGCATTGTTGCCCTGGTTTTCTGGCGGGGGGGGGGATGAGAGGGAGGGAGAGGCAAGGCGAGGCTGTACAATGGGTCAAAATTCAACTCCTGAAAACCCCACTTCCCCTTTCCTGTGCCAAAAGCAGGGTTCCACCCACCCCGGCAGGCTCAGTGGGAGAATGGGTACACAGCCGTTTCACAGAAACTCCTTCCCTGTTTCTCTACACGCTGCCCGGGGTGGACCGAAACTCCCCCTGACCCCATAACCGGCCTGCGAGGCCACCGCGGAGCACGCCGCGATTCGCAATAACTACAATCACTCCGAGTGCCCCACGGCTCGCACCCATCCTAATCCTGGGGAGGACTAAAAATAAAGGCTGGAGGGCAGCTCACAAGGTAGCCGTGATCAAATTAGGAGGCTGAGCGGACGGAGAGGGCCGAAGAAGGAAGCTTATAAACATCTGATCCAGCTGACGGGGGCCATATGGCAGCTGCAGCCCAGATAAAGAGATTAAGAACAGAGGAGTGCGATTACAGCTGTCTGGCCAATTCAGGCAGCTCAGCCCTACAAGTTCTAAATTAGTCGCTAACACAAAAACTCCTGCAAATAATTACTGTTATGCTGAAATAAAAGATCTCTTAAATATATATTGGAAAGAGAAATGAGGAAACCAAACTATTCTCCTGAGGACAAAAGTTTTCTTGTGTGTGTGTGTGTGTGTGTGTGTGTGTTTCTTTTCCTTTTAAAAAAAAAACAAAAAAAAAAAACCTTTGGTTTCAAAAGCACCACACAGCTGTATGTTTCAGCAGGGCTGCCGAATGTTTGTGAAGAATAAAGTTTCACAGTGGAATTAATTACACAACAGCCTCGCTTCTCAGCTAGAATAATCCTCTCCTGGAAGTTTGAATGTGGATTCCAGAGAGTTTACTGTTTCTCAAAAGGAATCTAAACAGCAGCAAAAAACAACAACAGAGAGCATCTGAATCCAAAGTGATCTCAAAAAAGCACCACGTCAAAGCTTTTCTTAACACCTCCAAACTTGAAATATTTCTGTGTATTAAAGTTCTTTTCTTGCTCGAGAAAAAAAAAAAAGGGATAAAAATTAAAACTGCCCCAGCCCCAAGACTATAAACTCCAGTAAGATGTCCGTTCCATAATACTCCATTTCATACATCACTCCTAAACTGGATTAGAAAAGTAATGTGATTTTTCTCGAAATCAAATAAACAAAACACCCAAGCACAAATAAGGCTCCTTCTAATCTCTCGCTGCTCCTACCTTTCGGACACATAAACCTGATTAAGTCCTTCCCTCGGAGGCTCGCTGGCTCCAGGTCGGGGACATCGGTGGAAAAAAAGCAGACAGAGAGACAGATGCAGAGTGGAGAGGATGTTGGAGAGGAATGAGATACCTTCTCCACCGCAGATCCGCGCACACTGGCTCCCTGTCTTGTGTGTTAGAATAAAAGGCTGAGGGATGGCAGGCTGTCAGCTGCTCTGACATCATGTTCAGATGGAAAAATGCTACCTCCAGCTGTGCTCCTTTTAATGCCATATGCTACTCCTCTCCACTCCTGCCACCCGCTTCTTCTTAGGAGAACTTTTCTCTTCTGTTAGTATAAACAAAATACTTCAAAGTCTCCCCTTTTTCCCCCCCAAACTTTCTAACGGCAGAAATTGAAGAGAAAAAAAACCCTCAGCATATGGAGTTCTGTATTTATGGGCTTGAAACGCTTCTGTCTGAGGCCGGGGGGGAACAGGCGCAGGCTGACAGCACCCTCCGGCCAGGGCGCTGGTCAGGAGCCCAGACCCCCCCTGACCTCACTCCCCTTCCCTTTCAGAGCAGTTTGAGGACAATTTTAAACCAAACCCTCGGCCACCTCCAGGCCCATGTCAACATTATGAGGGCACCTTTTTTAAAATTTTTCTTTCTTTCTGCTGAGATAATGGTGCAGTCTCAGGCTGGAGGGAGGCGAACCGTGCCTTCAGCCTGGCTCGCTGCATTAATTATTTCACTCTTATTTAACTACTAATCGGCGGTGACCTTCTCGGGAAAACTTCTCACACTTGTCAGTTACATGCAAATTTCGGTTTTCACTCTCAACACACCGCCATCGCGCTTTCTGAAACCCTGGAAAGTGCCGGGCCCAGGAGACTCAGGGATGGAGCCAGGCAGGCCCCTGCCCACGAGGCTGCACCTGCCTCCGCCTCTGCCCGACCCTCCTCCGCTCCCAGAAGCGGCCGTTGGCCTCTCCCTCCGCCCCCCCACCACCTGATTTTATTTTTACTTTTTTTTTTTGGGGGGGGGGGTCACTCTGCACTGTTTGTGATCCCAGGAAAACCTCTCCCCGGGGGGGAGGGCGCTTGGGGGGGGGGGGGGGGCGGGGGTGGGAAGTTGGGGGACTGGGGAGCCGGGCTCCGCGGGCCGGTCCGATCGAGCGGCTGATGAAACCGGGACGCAATCCGGGCGGGCGGCCCGCAAGGTGCTGCGACATCTGCGAATGTCACGTCCATCCCCACGGCCCGCGGCCGGGGCGGGGCGGGGAGGAGAGGAAAGGGGGGGGGCTGGGCCCTGGGGGTGCCCCCCCCTAGTCCGTCCCCGTGAGAAAGCCCCGCCGCCGGGCTCCTCCGGGGGAACAAAGCCCCCGGCCGCCCCGCGTCCTGCCCCCAAGTCCCCGGCCCAACTTTGTGCAACTTCGCGATGCCCGGCCCCGCGGCCGGGGGGCTCTCCCCGCGGCCAGACGCCGCCCCCCGCGCCCTCGCCCCGCTCCTCCGGGCCGGGGGGCATCCATCACCCGTTACCCCGGCGGGTGGGGGCGGCTGACAGCTTAACGGGCCCCGAGCCCACAAATCACCCCCCGGCGGGCGGCCGGCCGGGAGCCGGGAGCCGGGGGAGGTCGGGTTCTGTTTCCCAAAGGGGTGTGGGGATTTGGGGGGGGACCCCAAGGGGAGTGGGGGGCCGTGCAGACCTCCCCGCGGCGGAAGGGGAAGGCGAAACCACAGGGAAAGAGGCGGCGGCGGTGCAGGGCGCAGAGCCGGCCGGTGCGGCAGGAAAACACCTTCCCCCGGAGCCGAGGAAACAGAGCCGGGTCAGGGCGGCAACAAAAGAAAAGTCCTAAGAAGCAGCCCGGGGGTGGGTGCGGGGGGCGGGGGGGTGGCTACCGCTTCCCCCGGCCGGCCAGCCCCCGGGCCTCCCGGCAACGGCCCCCGCCCGGGGGGAGGAGGGGGGAGGGGGGGAACGGGGCGCCCCGCGGCCCCTCCCGCCCCCGGGCGCCGCTGCAGCTGCACCGCCGGTGCCCGGAGCGCGGCGGGCGTCCCGGGCGCCACTGCAGCTGCGGCGGCTCCGGGCGCCCTCCCCCCGCCGCCCGCCCTCCGCCCTCCGCACCGGGAGGCGCCGCCGCCGCAGCTGCACCGGCCGGGCGCCCGCCCCGCGCCGCAGCTGCACCGGCCGCGGGGGGAGGGGGCGCGGAGCCGGCCGGCCCGCACCCCGCACCCGCCCGCCGGCCCCGCAGCTGCAGCCCCCGCCCGCCCCGCGCCCGGGCCCTCCCGCCGCCCAACCGCCCCGCTCCGGCCGCCAAACTAACTCCGCTCGCGGGGGGGAGGGGGCGCCCCCGGCCCGGCCCCCCGCCCTCCGCCCGCACCGCACCGCCCCTCCGGCCGGCCGGCCGGCCGCACAGCTGGCGCCCCCTCCCGCCCGCCGGGGGTCCGGGCGCCGCCGGGTCAGAGGCCGCCGGGGCCGGCGCGGGACTCACACGGAGCGGCCCGAGTCCCGCGTCCCCGCCGCCGCCGCCGCGTCCTCCGCCTCCTCCGCCTCCGCCTCCCGGCCGCCGCCGCCGCCGCCGCCGGACTTGGTGGGCTTCCTCCTCCTCCTCCTCCTCCTCCTCCTCGCGCCCCCTCCCGCCCGGCCCCCCCCCGCCCCCCGAGCCCGGCTCCGTCGCCCGCCCCCGCCCCCGCCGGCAGCCGGAGGAGGAGCGAAGAGGCCCCCCTCTCAACGGCTCCCCATGGCAGCAGCCCAGCGGCGGCCGCAGCCTGCCAGACACCGCGAGCGAGCGAGCGCGGAGCGAGGAGCGAGCGGAGCCGCCGGGCCGGGCCGGGGGGCGGGGCGGGGGGGCCGCGCGCGGGGAGGGGGCGGGAGGACGCACCACGCACGCACGCGGCGGCGGCGGCGGCGGCGGCGGCGCCGGCCAGATGTGGCCCCCCCGTCGGCTCGGCCCGCCCCCTCGTCCCCATGCCTCCTGCTTTCCCCCACTTCCCACCCCCCCCTGCGGCGCCGGGCTCCTGCGATTGACCGAGAGCGCCCGGACCGGCGCCGCCCGCCCGCCCCCTGGCCGCAGCCTCCTCCAATAGGAGGGCGGCTTTTCGGGAGGGGGGCGGAGGCAGTGGCGGGCACTCGCCGGACTGGCAGGGGAGGCTCGGCCAATGGGAGGAGCGGGCCTGAGCTGCCGCTCGCGGTGTCCCAATCACAAGGCCGGAAGTGCCGGGGTGGGCGGGGCCGGGCGCGGCGCGGGGCGGAGCCCTCGGGCGGGCGAGGCGGCGGCGGCGGCGGCGGCAGCAGCGGCGCCCCTCCGGGTGACTTGGCCGTGAGAAAGTGAAAGGAGCCCGCGGGCGGCGGCGACAGCTGCGCGGGGAGGGGCCTGTCTCCAGGCGCGGAGGCCTCGCGCGCGGCGGGGCGGCGGAGCCAGGCGCTCCGGTGGGCGCCGTGACAACCACAAATGCACTTTCCAACGCGGCGGTGGTGGGGGACGGGCCGCTCCAAGTTGGGCCGGTCTCCCCGGGGGAGAGGCCGGGCACTCGGGGACGCCGAGGACTCGGGGCCGGCGGCTGCGATCGGGGCTCACGCGGTTCCCTGTTGTGGGGTGACCCTTCCCGACCGGGCCCTCGGCTGCCTGCGGGGCCCGGCTGCCCGGTGCCCGCGGGGCGGCGGGCGCGGGGAGGCCGCCCCTGGCGCCGGTCTCGCTGCGGCGGATCGGAGCCTCCGCCTTGCATTTCCCTGGGAGCCTCCGTGTCCCCGTGTCCCGTGTGCGCTCGCCCCGCGACAAGTAAAAGACATCCCCCGGGTGACCAAATGTCAGGGAGTTACCCTCAAATTGGTGCTTGCAGGCACCGTAGCCTGATTCCTTAATTGGCACGTAGCAAGCCGCAACTTCCAACTGCGGAGAGGAGGGAGGAGGACGGAAAAGGCCGCCTGGCTTCGCCTCCCTCCCAATGCACTTTAAAAAAAAACAACTATTTTTATTTTTCCAATGCACTTTTATTCCGTTTCTTGTGCTTTGCAGCGAAGCCGTGTTGCAACGGTGGCCACGAAGAAGTCTAGAAACGTAACGCCCTCAAAGATACTTGGAAATCTTTGCAAGTTAAAAAAGAAAAAAAAAAAAAAAGGTTGAATCCCCAGGGAAAAAGCAGTGGTTCAAGGACAGAGAAGAGAAACCTGCGAAGGGAAGAAGTCATGGTCACATGCAAGGTGTTTACTCTTGGTTGGCCTGGCTGGCCCCGGCCAGCCTGTTGCTCACCAGCTCGCCAGGAGACAGACCGTCCAGCCACGGGGCAAAAGGTGGTTTCCCTTCGCCGCCCCAGGCCCCAGGAGGGAGCTCCGGGTGCAAAGTGATTGTCAGGCTTGTGCAATGACGAACGGAGTGCAAACGGGAGCCCAGAACATTCCAGACGCAAGATGGTGTCCTGGTGGCCTGTTAGAAGCAGGAGGGGGACCTTGTCTGCCCTCGCACCTCAGCCATTCCAGCTGCCTCCCCTCCTGATGGATCACAGGGGTCAAAGTCTTTGATCCCATGACATACAGGCTGGGCGGAAGTAGGTTTACAGTGGTGCCTAGGCAGAACTGATTATTGTCTGGTTTTCCATAGGAACAGCCGTAAACCTACCTTTGGCCCGGCCCTGGAGGGGGTTGCTTCTGTGCTTCTGGTGAATTCTAGGTTCTTCCAGTCTGGTGGTTAGGAGGCCCAGTTTCAGGCTGACCTGTTTCAAGTTAGGGAAATGGGCAGATATTCTCGATGGATGAAAAAATTCACGGTAAAAAAAAAAAAAAAAAGTGAAAATGAGTAGTTTTACTAAGAAGTTTGGGGGGAAATAAGAGGGAGTGCATTCTCCAAGCTGTTTCTCACCTACTGGAGGTTAAAAGGAACAAGTCTCTGGATGAATAGAGTGGCTTGATAGTGTCAGGACAGTAAGGAATGAAACCATGAGGACAGCCGAACACTCAGACTGTCCACAGAAAGCTCAGAAACTCAGCTCTAGGGCATCTACTGCAAAATCACGACTCTAACAAAAGGTTTTACAAATCCATCCCACCCGTGGGAGAGCGGCCCCAAGGTCTGATGGGAGACACAAGATAGATCACAAGTTGTGAGCGGTGTGCTTTCAGGTCTAATAGTCATGGCTACGGTCTATTTTGGGAGCTGAGTAGGGGAGCCAGGGACATATAGATTAAGTGGGTATTTAAAGAAGCCGGTATGCCATCCTTCAATTATGTAAAAGATTTTATAAATTTATGAACTGCATGAAATCAATAAAAGCGTTTCTGGAATATTTGTTGTGTTCAAGAAAGTACTCTGATGGGATTCGGAAGGAAACAAAAATAAAAAGTGAGATAGGCTCTCTCCTTCCTGAGGTTAAGTTTAGTTGGGAAAAAACTGGTGTGAATATATAAAAATCAGAATATATTCTCTCTCTCTCAGCTGTTAGAAATGAACAGATTGAAATGGCCTAAATAACAATATAATGATGAATGTCAGAGGTAAATTTACTCTTTATTTGCTACCACCATCTACACTCTGATCCCTGCCCAGGGCAGTTGTATTTTCTCTGCCTCCCCCCCCCCCTTTTTTTTTTTACATTTAAAAACTATTTTAACTCTCTGACTTTATTTTAAAAATGATGCTTTTGATCATCTTTGGAAAGTCATCAGCATGCAAATTGAAAGTAAATGAAGACTGATAGCAGAGGCGTCATAATACAGAATGATATAAGTTATTAAGTCTAAATACCCCCACCAAGTAAGTGCCTCAAACCAGGTCTTTTTACTTCTGCACAACAGGTTTAGCAAATTACCAAGATCCAAAGCTACTTGTCTAAGTTGGAGAGCCAATAATCTTTCTTTTTCTCTCCCACAGGGAAAGGTAAAAAAAAAAGCACCAGAAGCACAGTCTCAAAACTATCCGAAAAATATACCATTGCTCCCTCTGAAATCCTAGTCCTATGTTGTTCCAATTGGTCCACTCTTTTCTGGAAGTCCGATACTATAAGTGATACAAGTCATTCAAACATGATTCGATTTCTTTATTTTTTAAAAAATATATTTGATTTTTTACAGAGAGGAAGAGAGAGGGACAGAGAGTCAGAAACATCGATGAGAGAGAAACATCAATCAGCTGCCTCCTGCACACCCCCCACTGGGGATGTGCCCACAACCAAGGTACATGCCCTTGACCGGAATCGAACCCGGGACCCTTCAGTCCCCAAGCCGATGCTCTATCCACTGAGCCAAACCGGTTTCGGCTGGCTTGATTTCTTGTCTTAGAACAATTTTATGTCTTAATAACACATACATTTGACCAGTAACAGTTTAACACTATAAAATGTTGATGGCCCAAATAAAATTTAATTTGACGAGCAACTCCATAAAATTAACATGAACCACAAGTCACATCTCTGAAATAACTCAGTGTTTTTATTGCACTTGGTGCAATAGGTCATGTTAAAAAATGATCTATGGAGTTAATTGTTGAATATTGGTTTTAGATAAACTTCATGTGTAATTGGAACTTTTCTTTAAAAAATTAGGGAGGCAAGCGTTAATAATAAAAAAATCAGATATTCCAAAGTGTAATATTTTAAAGATGATAATTATAAAATGTGATAAAGTGAACCTGAAGAGGAAAAACACATTTTCAGTGTCACAGCACACAGAAATTCCATTAATGTATTTCTTCTCTCTCCATCTTCTCATTCTCTTTGGGCTATTAGAAATGAACAGGTTGAGCCAAAACCGGTTTGGTTCAGTGGATAGAGCTTCGGCCTGTGGACTGAAAGGTCCCAGGTTCGATTCCGGTCAAGGGCATGTTAACTTGGTTGCAGGCACATCCCCAGTGGGGGGTGTGCAAGAGGCAGCTGATCGATGACTCTCATCGATGTTTCTAACTCTCTTATCTCTCTCCCCTCCTCTCTGTAAAAAATCAATAAAATATATTATAAAAAAAAAAGAAATGAACAGGTTGAAAAGAACACCAACATACAGCTGAGACTAGTAAAAAATAAAAATAAAAGTAAACGGACAAACTGGACACACCACAACAATGAACTGTACAAAGATATAATCCTTTTAAATATATATATATATATATATATATATATATATATATATATATATATTTACTAGTACATGTAAATTCCCCAAAGCATTTGGTATACCCAATCACTCCCTGTGTGATAAAGTCTGTGATGCTTGAATCTTATTCAATTCCCGAACCAGGATAAGCCATACACAGGAGATAATTTATTCTGATCCTCAGCCCGTAAGACAGAAATAAAAATTGTCACAAACTTTTAGGGGAGGCCCTCAGCAGATGGGCCCCGGGCACTGGGGTTCACTCTCTGCGTTGGAGACAGACTGAGCCTGCACCAGCATCCAGACCTGCTGGAGGGTTAAGGGCAGAGCAAGACGATCTTCCCAGAACCGCCTTTCCTGTATAGCCAGTTTCCAGTTGCTTACTGTAAATCAGAGCTTTTACGTGAGCGTCATAAATCCAGAGCATAATGGCCAACGGAGGTTCAAGGCCTGGTTGACAACAAGACTGGCCACTTTGGAGGATTAATTTAGAAAGAAAGCCCAGAGCTATCCAACCCCACCTTTTTCCTCTTTCTCAAGCTCCCCTGTCTGTTCTTTGGCCCCTGCCCCGCCCCACATCAAATGCAATATG